GAAAATGAAACCTTGTCATAGAAACATGTAGTGAAGTCACTGAAATGTGTATGGAGTTACCTTCCCTTGCAGTGTGCAAAAATATGGAAGACAAATCTCATGTGTGGCATAAAAAATGACAAAGTGGCAACATAATTCATATTTCTTGGTCCCACAAAGGATTGATTGTGACAAACGGGCTATATTATTTCCTTTCCTGAATTCCCGATGGGACTGACCAACACTCACATGGCAAACAACAACGTTAAGGCTTAATACAACATTCCTAGCATCATAAACATGAACGTGAGTGACATTATTGCGGTAATTTGGATACATTACGAGATGTAAACAGGAACACAGTTCCAATCAATTCCACCTGAAACACACTCGTTCTTACTTTCCCTGCATAACAGATGCATAAATGACACTTTTGTTCTGAAATTGACAAGCAAGGCAATTTGTGGCTTTAATATCCTGCATAGGGCCAGTCTCTCTGGCATGTTATTCATCACATTTTCACCTTTAATGCTGCACCAAATCTGAAAGGTCCCTGGAGAAATATCAATATTGTCCGGTACGTGCAATGCATTATAAGGGACAATATTACAAAATGCAATCAGAACAATATACTCCCGTACAACACTAAGAAGACAAGTTATTTTATTTTTCAAATGTATTTTCATATAGATTGTTTTTAGAAACATCTTATGCCGACACTTCATTGGGTGTTGTTAGTTTTGATTTCCTTTGCACTTAATAATTCATACAGCGCCACATAGCTCGTCGACTGGAGACGTATTTGATAAATAGTGTTCATTTACAGTTTAATCAAAGGCTGGATGACTATTTCCACAAAACCATCTTAAGCTGAAAGGTCATCATGTTCTGACACGCCACTGGGCTGGAGCCGCGATGAACTCACCTTCCTTAATAAATAAATCGAATCGAATCTGATGATGTTCAATGAGATCGGTTTAAAAGAACGCCTCAAATAAAGCTTCATGTCGCAGTTGATAGCTTTAATGCTATATTCACGTGCAAACCTGTTATCACAGACCGATAGCATGTCAATAACTTTCAATTATTTTCCACAGGACATGAATTTATTCTCCTTGAAATGTTTACACAATGGCGTCGGACTTTTCTAAAAGTCTCAGCGATAGTTCCACTGATGTCTTATTTGCAAACAGGCTTACAATGGTTCCACATGAGATAAACATATTTCATTCTTTAAAGTTCGAATTTAAATGGGGTCACGGCGCCTCAATTCGCTGTGCAGATCTAGAGTTGCGTCCCTTGGGCACGCCAGAAACCTATGATTGTTGGTCAGAATTCCGGTTGGACCCGATTATGTATCTAGATTTGTCAGCACCATACTCGTGCTCGTGGGTTTCACCGAGGTGGTAAACGTCTAAGACCTACATCACCTCGGGCTTTTCTCCCACATTAAGCTGACACGCCGTGATATGATTGGAATACCGTTAAAAGCGGCGTTAAACACACATGCGAGTTATGCATATCTTTATCGAAATGACCCTCAGGTCATCTTAAATGCGCATTTTACCGCCGTTGCACAAAAGGGTGTCCCCTTAATTAAATATATTTCCAGAAAACGGAATAATATATAAATATATATTTCACGGACATGAAAGAGCGCAACGGGCTTATTTACAAATGACACTTTAAGTAATCTAACACATTTTTACAAATGTAACAACTTATTGTTTTGGGGAAGGGTGTATGTGTGTGTGTTGTGGTTCCTTGGGGGGTTTGAGGGGAGATCAATTTCAAGTTGACATCGTACGCAGTTAAGGAAAGGATCTATATTTTCACGTGTGGTTCTTTGTACAAACATAATGATATACAAATTGATATTCACTCATTCCTTTTTGTGTGAAGACAACTGGGTATCAATATATCCACATGTGCATGTAATTTTATCCACAGTCATGCCCTTGGATCTATAGAGATTTATTTTTATTAGATATGAAAGCAAGACGATAAAGTCACATGTCGACTCCTTAATACCTACATTATTGTCATTTTAAAAGAAACTGTCGCGGCTTTTGGACGCATACACATGATCAGGTGTTTATATTTCATAGTGTTTGTAGCTTATAACAATGTCCGTTATCACAGAAAAACACCAACCATTATATGAACTGTTGGGTAATATTTGAAAAGATAATAATATATCAAGCTATCACGACATCCCATAAAATATTAAATTTTCTTATATCAATGTTGCATAGTAACAGTAATGATGACGTTTGACAGGCAGTTGAAGAAGTGAATTGAAATATATTGACCTTTGTTGATAAATATAAACACAGAGAGAATAAACAGTGAAGTTAAATTACGAACAGATCAATGTCTTGGCCAGTGGCCAGTGGCCTTGGAGTTAAATTTCATAAATTTCCTACTGGATAATAAGACATGTTGCATGTTTGACGTGTTTGAGAGAACATTCCCTAAGGCAAAACATGTAATACTTCATACTACAAACCTCTTAAGGCGAGTGATATTAACCTTTGCCATGTGGTAGATGTTGATATGTAAATGCACATTGTATTACTGATCGAATGTAATTTACTTTGATAAAGAGAACTGAAACATTTTCAGTCTCTATCATGGTTAATGTCCTCTGGTGCGAATACGTAATTTAGTGAAGAAAATGCAATTACTTCTTCTGAAGGTAAATGTATTAGCATCTTATCTTTCTATTTGTACAGTTCAATCATCCTTATATAGGAATCTCAAATAGTATGTGTAAAAGGTGACATTGTTATACTAACATGCCAGCAACAGCTGAAATAGGGCAACGGCTACTGTAACTCACATAAAGCAACATTGTTTGCTACGATCTTTTTGGGAGAGCGGGGCATGGTAAAGGTGTCTCCGAAGGTTTTAATGGTATCATTCGTTAAGAAAACTCATTATCTGATAGTTATGTTCACACCATGTGAATGCCCCACATTGTGGTTTTATTGTCCTGTTACAACCTTTTCATTGGTCACTCTTCGTGAGTACATCACCACCAATAACGGCGATCTGCGTGCATGATCTATCAGAAACCCAGGACAACATGGCATGTTGATGGCACTGTTTTTTTACAGGCGGCTGTACGAAGATGACCTAGCTCCACAAAACAACGGCCAAACTTGACAATAGAGTTTCGAAAGTCTTAGCCCAAATATCGCCTCATGGAACTGGTGTCTTTCTTGTTCAGAATCCTGTATGGATGACAGCGGTGAGGTAAATTAAATACAAAACTCTTATTCTATGGATTTTATACTAAATTCCAACCCCATTGGGGCCATAGTCGTACTGCAAGAGGTGACCCATTCGGATTGAGTGGTCTGGATCGATGAAGTGGTTCATCAGTGTCATCGTACCTCAGGTTTGTCAGACCCAGACTCGAGTACACACCGCCGTAATATAGATGAAATGCGTCTGACTACGACGTTGAAAACTCTGTAGCCTTATTTCTGACGATAAACATTGCAAATTTATAGCTAATATCCATCTATAGCTTATTAGTCAGAATAGATTTAGTTTAATTTTTAAAATATTTTTACGGTATTTGTATACTTCACTGCTTAGACATTATGTACGACTTGTGAAATAATTATGAATTATTTTGCCGGAATTGCGTCTCGAGTCGACTTTAAATTCGACATATCAAAGTTCGACACAAAGATGCTCGATCGTATCATACGCAAGTGGAACCTCTCAGTTGCCATAGCCCCCGAACACCAAAAGTAGACATTGCTCATTCTCTAGGGTTTCTCCATCCATTGACCTTCCGTCCTAATTTCGCTTGAACGCACACTGACAGACATTTGTATGACACAATGCAATATACATTAAATCCGTATGACTGCGTTTACAAACCATTTTCTTGATGTTTAGTGAAAACCCAAACATATGTTCAGAGCTATATAAAACATTTATGCATCTAGTATGCTGTTAATCACTTGCTTGATGGGAACCTTGCCAATAGGAAAACATTACACAGTAGGTCTTAGAAATAGATGCTTGATACACTTGTTATAGATAACGTGGTCCCATTAAGTGTGTTTGTATGGGATGCATGCGTTTACCCAAGAAGGCAACTGGTTGATATATCACAATTCAACATCCTCAAGAAAGTGTGTGTTTGACGCGGAACAAGTGTGTCGTGATTACTAAGATGGAGCGGGACAGTGTGTTCCCTGAGGCACAAAGGTTCTGTTAGACAACGACCCAGGTGCCCATCGTGCGACTACGTCTCAAAGGGTCTTTTGCATCGCTAAAAGCAATCTTCCTTAAAGTGTGACAAAGACAGGTTTAGCTGATTATATGTCTTCAGATGATAGCAAGTCGGAAGTAGGTTCCTAAGTGGAAGTGAAATGCCATATCTGAATTCTTCCGACTGTTGCACAGTGCCCTTTCCTTTGTCTGGGGGATGCGAGTAATGTGTTTGTGTACCTATTAATGGTATTATGTATTCTCCCATTCTATGGCGCAGTTCAAAATGAGAAATATATTTTCATATTCACTTCAAATTCGTCATAGGGAATACACTCATGACAATCCCACAGAAGCATATCGCATTCGTTTGTCTATGAGGTTTAATGAAAGCTGTGTATAACTCTGATGAAAGTAATATACTCATATATTCTAAGGTGAATATATCGCTGGTAGTTTTGAATTTTGTTTGAATTGTGGAGAGCGACTTAATTATAAGCAAATCATTATCCATTCATTAACCGTTTTAATGGTGACTAAATAGTGTTGCATGTGAAACAATGTGTAACAGCGAGTCTCTACCACAAAAATCAAAACAACCAGAACGGTAGTCTGCTGTTTGTTTATCGGTACAAATTGTGCAACGCATACAAATGTTATACTCTAATTATAATATTGCTCACTTTTATCAATATGGAGTGGGAGAAACAAACTAATACAAACATTCAAAGACATACATTTGTTTTAGGTCGGTGGAAAGGAGATAAGGAAATACAGTATTAGCTTACCTGTTGTGTGACGTAAATATCCCTGACAAAGAAAGTTTCTTTGACTAAACTCCCTTCGCTGAGAATATCTTTGACTACCACTGCTCCAATGAGGTCATGGCGTGAGAAACGATCAAAGTCATACAAGTTGAAGTACAATGTCCGTGAGGGGATGTTTTCATAGTTCACGCTGAAGACAAATGTTTCATTAAACTCCGGAGTTAAAGTCTTCCTATGAACTTTGGTTTGGTGCTTCGTCTTTCTGTCAGGCAACAGATACACCTTCACGTAAGGATCTGACGTTCCTGAAAAATCTTTAGCAGGAAGATTCTCCGCACGGTTAATGCTCACGAAAAGACTTCCCTGCTCTTGAACGTACTTCAGGCTAAAGAATAACTTTCCACAAGGGGTATGTTCCGACCTTAGTGAATCAACAGATGCCTGTTTGTAAAGTTCTGGTTTAATGGCTCCAAGTTCCGGTTGCTCTTTATGTTTGATGCTCTGTACAGAGAACTCAATATTGGATAAGTCAAGGCGATGTGAAAGCATTCGCTGGAATGTTTGATGACGTTGGGGAACTGTTGGCAGTGTCCATTGCCGAGAACTTATCTGAAATATACCTCTTTTCGATGGAGACTTTTTACTGGTAGGTTCTGGTGGGGTTTGGTTGACCTCGATGAGGTCAGGGGTACTCTGGCTGATGTGGATGTTCCTGTCAGAGAGGTAGTCATGAGTAAACTGCATCTGGTCTGGATCTAGGAACAAAGGTGGACGCTTCTTCTTGCAAATAAACCACGCTGCCGCGAGGACAAGAGCTGCGATGAGTGTTCCACACCCAGCTATAGATCCAATCACTATGGGATCAGCGTGATCTGCAACATTTGAGAATGTGCATCAGGGATAACATATTACACATCTTTGCAATGACAAGCAGCTGGGTGATGTCGCATTTCTCTGAAAAAGATATTTATACAAAACCTTTCAATTTAAAGAACATTAAAAAGAACTCTATAAATGGATATAGAAATATGTTTTCAAAGTACACACATGCATGCCAGACAGGCATTCCTCCAAAACGTGTATTTGAGTACTCATGCGCTACACACGAGTGCTGGTTCTGACGCAGCGTTTATAATGGTCTCACAAAGCTATCATGAGCGATAAATATCCTTGAAAGGATGTTTATTGCTCTTACAATCAAGAATTCTCCAACATGAGTGGATAAAAACAGATCCCCTGTGTTTAAATCTCCATTGTAACACTAATGCTTAAGCGCATTCAAATAATGAATGTCATTGCAGGGATTTGCAGTGAAATATCATATCCAAGCGTTGCCATCATCTCTTGAGCGAAAGTAATAATTCCTTCCCAGATACAGAAATGTATTTGGCCCGGCAACAGCGTGGAAGAATTTATCGAATGATGCACCAACTAGTCCTCATAGAACATTCCGAGCAGTGAAACCGTATCAACTTTCGTCTACGTACATGCTGCTGCCGACGTTTCTGCTGTCAACCGATGTATGGATCGTGCACAAATCCTCAATAGCTTTGCTCAGGAAAGCTCAATTATACAAATCAGTTGCTGTGATATTCTACCATGTCTCCGCTTGCATTGATAATTCTATGTAGAGTCTTCATCGAAACGGAAACGCTGTGCCATGAGTTGCAGGAGGCATTAAATGTATTGCTGTTTGTAACCCCAGATGACATTAGCCGCATAATCTAGGTGGACAATTGACCTAAATGGACAATCCGTCACTGACCACCGGTCACCTTAAAGTAATTACTTTTACCCAGTACTCAGAGGACCTTACAGTTTACAGAAACAGACACCTCACGATGGTTCGTGTCAAAATTGGTCTGTCACCGGCAGTTCCATATTGTGAAATTCAGAAGACAAGGTTCAACTTGACTTGAACGGCGGTGGGAATACGTTCACGAGGGAGCATTCTGAGGCATATTTAAGTCCGCAAAGTGAGTCGCTTTCACGCATGAGACATTTAAAATTGGTTCCTAAATAGAATAGCGACAGTTTAGCCAGAACATTGGAAGATATATATAGTTGGAGCGTCATCACTACGAACACTTCCACTCTTGGAAGTGTAAGGTGATGGCTGCAGTTCAAGGTCGAGACTGTATGACTGGCTGAGATAAATTAAAAATTCTCAATTGCCATAGACACACAATAAAAAAAATCATTTCATTATTTCATAGCCCAGATGTTGATAGCATATTTGAATAATAGTAGTCGAGATTGCTGCTTCGTTGTTGTACATTTGCAACAATAATGCGTCACTGTTTCAGCCCTATTTTCGGCAGTGCAACGTGTCAAGCCCACTCTTGGTGTTCCCCGCCACGATGTTGTCCAGTGTAATGCTATAAGCATCATACGCTCATTGATTCACTCATTCATCCACTTTCTCATTTCATAGAAAGACCAAAGTGAGTGAGTGAGTGAGTATGGTTTTACGCCGATTTTAGCAATATTCACGCAATATCGCGACGGGGCCCAGGGCACCAGAAATTGGCCTTCACATCGTACCTATGTGGGAAATAGAACCCGGCCCTTCGGCTTGACGAGCTTAAGCTTTAATCACCAGACCACCCGTACTGCCTCATCTATATCCTAAGTGTTGCCTGTTGATAAAGCATTACATCAGCTCCATTTCAGATGACAACCTTGTTACCATTCTGCTGTTCTCATACTCCATCTAATCTTCTTACTGAAGGCACTTTGGTTTAAGGGTTCCCATATCGATGTGCAGAGGTAACCCCACTTCATTTGAATCATATGTTAATCTCATCTTTGATAAGCGCACCCAAAATCACACGTGGACATCAGCGTGCCTGCTTGTAGCAATACACATCAAGTACTCGACTTACCGGATAGGATCTACGTGACAGACCAAACCTGTTTTCAAAGACTCAATTTCACATGAAACATTTTATGGATTACATCTTCTTTTATTCTTTGTCACAAACAAAGCCAATACGGACAATTCAGTGACAAATAAAAAAAGTTGTTATCCATAAAAAAAATGTCATTGTATTCATGTTCTTCCCTACTTCAAATGCATATCCAAGACCTGACTCATTTACAAAACAACATTTAAATTCATCATAGTACTGTCAATAAAAGATGCATACTCCAGATACAACCTTGAACATCTTTTCTTACAGTTGCATCTGACATTATATTAGAATATGCAACTTTAATTGAAGGACATCGACAGTATTATTGTAAATCGTTGCGTTTCCGGTTAAAAAAACACCCAAACATATTCATATTTAGAAAGGTTGTTAATCATAGGAACTCGCGTTTCCTGGCGATAATCATGAGTGTTCAACAGAACAGTTTAAAACATCAGGGGTGGTTTTGTGATGTAGAAACACTTTAGAATTGATTTACAACACCAGGAGAAGCGTACGTATCTTGGAGGTGTTTTATGAGATTGAACATATATTTTCATTCTATCCAACTATATTGTGCGTTGATACAGAAAGAAAATATCACTGTTGTAACTGTGCAACACATTAAATGTTATATTCATCACATGCCATTTTCATTATCCTTTCTAAGGCAAGACCTTGTGGTAGTCGTAAGGAGGAAAGACTAATAAATAATCAACCATTATGAGAATCAATTCACAAACAGTGCGTGAATACATACTATACTGAACGTTAACTATTCAAAATTCATGCTACTAATTTCAAATTATTACAAATATTTTATGAACATAAAGTCAAAATTGATCACCACTGTATATTTGTTTGTGTATATGTGTCCTTGTCATGTAACTCATAATGATACCAAAACACCTGCACATTTAAATATTAAATATCATTGTGCACTAACATTGATCATTTGCTATATAATCACATATTTCATCTGACGTCAATATCTTCAGCTAAAATTCAGTATGGACTATACAGATGTTTGCATGGTTGATTTCAATATCGTCACTTCCTTCTAAGGACATTACACATTCACCTAACACTGTATTGACTACATTGATAAAATATGAGGTTATTATAGAGACACACGAGCAGACCATCCCAACGGACAAATAGAAAATGCATACAATGCTGAAAACTTAGTGATACGTTATCAATGGCTGTGTTTATGAATAATATATAATGTTTCTTTCATAATGTAACGTATACCGAAGTAACTTCACAACACACTTGTCTTGTCAGTTTCCGCTCGAAAAATATTCATATTAGCTTTATATGTGCCGCTAGACAAACTGAATAGCTGCTCATGTATTTTTAACTTAATTACTAACCTTAAAAACAATCTGAACAAGTCAACCATCATGAATGACATATATCACAGACTATATTCCGTCACAGTGCCATTCCCGTTATAATATCAATGTTTTAACTGGCTAGATGTCTGCCATACTTTCCCTCCTTAGACCTCAAGAAAGTTGGCCAAACATACCGACAGCTTGTGTTTGCTTAACGCCGCTGTTGCTATTGCCTTGGACAAAATATCATGTATGCCTCGAAACAATGCCAATCAGTTTGTTTTACAGTGGCACTGATGTGACGATTACATTTTTCTTAAAGTGATTTCTAAGAACTTTGAACCTGTACGTTCAATTATACTTTCTATTATCATATACCACCTTTATCTAACCATTACTGTGATTCCATATGAATAATCACTGGATAAATGTGCGTTGAAATGTAATTGAAACTACGGTTGCTTAATATTCTCTATATAGCTTTACATAAATTAATGGTATTTGCTTCTCTCTAGTGAATTGTTATTTATATTATACGCAGTAGTATCTACCTAAACGTATTTAGCTTTCATCGCGAGTATATAACCATGATGAACAATAAATAACATCTCTAATGAGAACCAAAGAGTATTAATGTATGTAAAGTCATAAACTTTAATCCGCCAAATGTTTAGTTTTCTTAATGGGATATTCCCTTTCAAAGACATTCTACATGGTTATCAACTTGTAACTGGTGCACAAAGCGAAGCTCCAGCACAGATCAATACTTCGTTATCAGATAAATGTTGAGCTATCAAATCAAACCACTCACATAAATACACATCCATCAATCATATGACCTCTGTTAAACCATACATTTTTACATTAATACTATGTTACCGTTCTGTTGCTCTATCTCATATTATACATACATGTATCCATAAAACCACTCACGTAGATATACACAATCAACTATATGACTTCTGTTTAACCATCCATTGTTACAACGTCAATGTTCTGTTGTTCTATCTCATAGCATGAACACACGCTATCCATAAAACCAGGCGTACTCTGAAAGATACATATCTATTCCGAAACGTTGTTTTTTACAGAAGCAACGACATTAACATCCCCATGGACTCTCTATATTATGACCGTGATCTTTTAAATGTTATTCAATGACTGCAGCTATGTGATGCTACACTCTATCTCGGTTTAACCAAATATGGTTAGAACAGCCGAAAGAACCATTTACAGACATACTTTTCGTTTCAGATGCCCTTCGCTTTCCCTGGAGGTATACACTCATACAAGAAACCTTAATAGTCATCTCAATAATCGTGACACGTATCGGTCATATTGCATTTGTGATGGTGCTTTGTGTACATTTGGGATCATGTTGTAGAAATGCGTGATCATGCATTCCAGTTGTCAGCTGCATCTGTGACCCATCGCCTCGGTATCATGGCTGGGATTGTCGCTGCTTATCAGCACAGCCAGTGCCTGTACATAATAGGACTGAAACCTGAAATCGATGATATAAAGTGATATTGACAGCAGGCTTTGGGTGATATTGAAACAGGCTGAAATTTACAACCTTTTGTTGTTTAAGCTCTGTCACAGTGCCATAAATTGTGAAGA